TATTCATCTTCTTAAAAACTTATTTTATTAGTGCACATTTGCAGTGCATGCAGTTTACAGTCATCTTGGGAGAGGATCCATGTACATATTACAGCTTGTTTCTTGTTTAATCCGCTTCCTCTTTTCCTCCCTCCTTCCCTCCCTCTTCCTCTAAATTCCTCTAATATCACTCCTGTTTATATTATTAATCTAACCCATGTTATGGCACATAATGTTTACATTCATTGAGGTTATTGGGTTCCTGCACATGGCACATCTTTATTCTGCTTATTTCCCCTTCTCCTCCTCCTCACCCCTAACCCTTCTTCCCTTGGACCCATTCCCTTTTGCAAGAGATCCATCCTCTTCCACCTTATATCCATCTTTTATTATCTTCTTTATTTGTATTTTGCTTCTCTTTTCTTTTTTGTCTTCCTGAGTACTTGACCTTTATCTTTTTGCCTTGACCAATATATCCATATCCTCCTAACTGACATGAGAGTATTGTCAGGAAAAAGTGACTGAAGTACTATTTCATAGTAATAATGTTCCTGACAGGCACATAGGACTGTGCTGCAGGAGAAAAGGATTTCTCTACCGCTTGTGTCCTGCCCTCTCTTATACACTACAGGAAGCCTGGACTGCCTGGACCACAGCCTTCCCCATGGCGTAGAGAAGGTGCTCGATCTGTCCTCAGCCCCAAAGCATGAAGGTTCTGCAGGTGCAGGGCATACATATGACAAAGGTAAGTAAAATAAAAGCTCACTCTTCCTGTCCTGGAGGAGGCAGGGACACAGAAGAGAAAGAAAGGGAGGAAAATAAAAGAATTAAATGTGGGCCCCAATTTACTGTGCATTTTATATGTTGAGGGAGCAAACAGCCTCTAGGAAGCTTTTACTGCTCCCCACCCGCTTTTTTTGGATGCCTTGAAGGAGCCATTTTGGCACAGCGGGGTGACCCAGGATAATTAAGAGAGGGAACCCTTTGGTCAAATCAGATGGGAAAAGGGTCAGGCTGGCACTTCCTAAAATACCCTTCCTTTGCCAAGGATGACCATTCTGAGTTGCAAACAAGTGGGCTGGTGATGGGGTTTCTTGTGGTGGAACAAGGTAATTCAGCAACAAAGCATGGGGGTACACTATAAGGTCCGGGTTGGATGGAGTCTATGATAGCTGCTTACAGATATCCAGCCATTGGAAGCTAATGCAAATTTTAACCTAAGTAGCACTCAGCCCTTGGCCAAGCCAAGAGATGCAGTTGCACTGAACTAGTGGCAGCCTGCATCGGCAGATGCCAGCAACATGCAAAGCATCCTTGGGCCTGATCCAGCGACCAGAAGAGGCAGCCAGAACCGTACTCTAGAGTATCTCTTTTTTACTGCTGTCCTAGGACATGTAAGATGCTCCCATGTAACCAGATAGAGAAGCAGAGGATGCGGAACTATGTGAGAGATTTAACTCTGTTATACAAGAAGACTGAATATCAACTAAGTTATTGACATGAATTAAGCTTTAAGTCATATCAGACAATCAGTTAATTCCACCACCCCACCTCTCACCATCAAGTGAGAGGAATGAGAGATTAAATGAAGCAATTACAGTTTTTTGCACGTAGGAGTTGTAGTGTGAATTAAACTTTGTGATCCCTAATGAATGTAGTACTCCACTGAGTGACGAAACCATAATGAGTTTACTCTATTCCCTCTGATTGAAATTTAAGTTTCTCCAGTTTTGCATATTAGAAATGTTATGTGGACATCTTTGTGCCTTAAACCTTGTGACTCAAAGAAATAGTTCTTCAATGAAATTATCACTGGAAATGTGGAAATGTTTATGCATGAGATCTAAGCTTTCATATCGTAAGGCAATACTTTCCTTTCATGTGGTACAAGACTAACTATTTTTTGTTTTGTTTTGTTTTGTTTTCCAGTACCAGGGATCGAACTCACAACCTTGCACTTGCAGGGCAGGCGCTGTGCTGCTGAGCTAAATCCCCAGCCACCAAGACTAACTACTGATAATATGGATTCCTCAGAGCTAGGTAACAAATCATTCACTTTCTCTGCATTAGAAATCAGTAGAATTTTTAAGCATAGGAGAAAGAAGAAAAAGAGAAGAGGGCAAAGAATGTGGCAGAAGACAAGAGTCCAAGGTTGAGAATTGGCCAAGAGATGTTTAGGAATGGAGATATTTGTGGTGAATTTTAAATGATGTTTCTGTGATGTATATCCTGCCATTGCCTCAATCTTTGACAAAGGCTTTTATTCATATAAACACCGCAGTGATGGTATTATCTTGTTCTTTTGTTGGTTAGGGGGGCAGATATTAATAAAAAGGGTTGAATTCAATGTCCAGGTCGATATGATGAGAAAATGGGACCATACAATTGGCATGGTCAGATGTCTGATAATGAGCTCTTAAACAAGCATGTCTGTATAAGTAGGAGCCCAGCGCTGGAAGTGACTACAAGAGGTCCAACCCCCTTACCCACATCTGGAAAGTCAGAAATGTTCCAGAGGCCATGCACATTTTCCAATCAGTAGACTGGGAAATTGAATCAGTCTTGTCTAGCTGTGAGAGTCAGGAGGACACCATTGGACAAGTGAGATTATGTACATCTTTGCCTCCGTCACCCAATAGAAAGAGAGGCTTCCTCTTATTTTGGAAGTTTCTTGCTCTTCAGCATCTCTGTGGCAGAACACACACATCCTCCTCCTGTCAGACAGTACGAACCATGGCAGGGTGGAGAGACATCATGGAGAAAACTACATAAAATACCATGTTTACAAAGTCTATTATTATTTCTTTTAGGTAGCGTAACTTAATAACCCAATGAGTTCTTCCAAGCCTGCGATTTTCCCTTTATTCCTACACCACATCTGAGCTAATGAGCCTCATTCTCATCAGAGAAGAAGTACAAGTTTTATGAGAGTCTTGGATCTACTTTGTGGTTCCACCTTGAACTTGGTCTCATGGATATTCAAGCCTCAGCATAGTTCCTGTCTCAGCCTCTGCCTCTGGCAAGTGATTCTCTGTTCTTAGCACTCACCTTTGCTTAGAACAGCCTCTGCCTTCCTGGCAAGTGATTCTCTGTTCTTAGCACTCACCTTTGCTTAGAACAGCTCCAATATATGTTCTCTGTCCTAGGCATCTGAGCCCTTCCTAGATGTCTTGCCTTGGTCATTTAACACATCCTTTTTATGGTAGCCTTCAACTATCTACCTGCTCGGCACTCTGACATTTTCTGACTTTTTTGTTTCCTTTTTCTTTCCCTTATTTCCTCTCAGTTTGGCTTAGGCTCTTTGCTCACCGTCGTCACTGCAGGAGGTCAAGCCTGCTTAGCCCGTGTCTGTGCTCATCACCCACACAGTATGTCCATTATCGATCTTACAATGCTCCTCATAGTGAAAATGGCTTACAATGTAGCACAAACATGTTTGAAAAGGCAGACTTCTCTTGAAGCATCTTAAAAATCAAAAAGTAGGGAAGTCATTACATCGTATGATTAATGGAATCTGAACAAGGCTGTCGAAGTAGACTGAAATATTCCCAAAGAAAGGGTAATACGAATTATTCCCCCCAAAGCAGTAAGTTTCATTTTTAAAAAGACTCAATTTTATAAACTGCCAAGCATCCTTGAACAGACTTTGAAGAGCCAGAGTCAATTTCAAATTCCTTCACTCTTGCTTTAAGCATCAGCTGTGCTTGGTGGCGCAGGCTGGGAGTTAAAGACCCTGCCCGGGACAGCCTCATATCTGCCAAAAAGCCGGGGGTTGGAAGTAGCCTGATAACCTGACTGCAAGCAGTTTGAAGCCTGGCATAATTGTATAACATGAGGCTCTTGGGAGAATGACGATAAGCCCACCAGGCTAGCTGCCCCTGCATGCGAATAGAAAATGTGTGGAAGGGAGGTAGGAAAGGAAGACACAAGCGTCAGCCCTCCTTGCTGCTTTCACCTTCAGAAATCAGATCTGGAGTGTGAGGACATAGAGATTGATAGGAAAAACCCCCTGAGTATCTGCAACGTGAGTATCCACAGGAAGTTTTTCTGGATCAAGACCCCTCTGTTAGGTTAAATTCAAAAGAATGCTTTTCAACTGTTCAACTTCTTTCATCCTTTTTTCCTTTCTTCAGTTCCAATGCCTTATACGTTTAGCGATGGAATGAAAACTTTATATATTACTGCGCATTATTGTTTCCTTTAATGTTCAATTATAAGATCAAAGTGTGGATGCCTGGGACATGATAATGTCTTGTAGACATATAGTATCTTGTGTCATCACTGCAGCTAGCAAGGTACACAGAGCAGCGTATCCGACCCAGAGACTCAGATGCCCCGAGGGTAACCACTATGGATGATGGAATTGGAACATGTGTTTTCTGATCCAAAAGGATTGCATTCTCTTTTGTTAATGTCTATTCACACAGCCTTGGGGCCCAATAAACAAGGATGTAATCACACAAGATCATTCCTTGACCATGGTTGTATGTAGAGTAGAATGAATAATGGATTTTCTTTCTGTGAGTAATACTGGCATCAAGCAACAGTGCAGGAAACATGTCAAACGCCTGATAGGGTCGGGCACCCAGCAGCTCAGCTCAGCAGAGATGATGCCTTTACTGGCTCTTTATCCCAAGAGAGATGGCCATGGAAGGAAAAAGTATAAAATAATTTAATAGGCACTTTTAGAGACATATGAATAAGAAGATACAGATACACTTAGGACATAGTATCTAATTCTGAATGGAGAATTGAGAAAGAAAGTGATATCAGAGCTCTGTATTCAAGAATAGGAGCGTGCCCAGTGAAGACAGAAAAAAGTATGTGAGGAGATCACCCAGCATGCAGGTAGCATGGGATGGGGGATGTATAGTTGGTCTGTAGCATGGTGTGTATAATAGGGAGGTGAGTTTGGGTAAGGGACAGCTGGTAAGGTATTTGTAGGCCAAACTAAGGAATTTGTATTTTATTATTTAGGCAATAATGGATTTCAAACAGATAAGTTGACATGTTGAGGAAAGTTCAACAAAATGGGTGCTTTGATAGCAACCTTTCGGAATCGGATACGACTTGTTTGAAAATGAATTTTCATACATCTGGAGCAATGGCGCTAAAATGTGAGTATGCAGCAGAACCAGAGTATGCCAAGAGGGCTTGTTAAAACATAGACTGTTGGACCTCATCGCAGAGGGTCTCACTGAGCAGGCTGGGGCAGCTTGGAGAATTTGCATAAGTAACAGGTCCCCAGCAATGCTCATGCAGACCCTCCTTTTGAGAAACGCTCTATCCAGCTTCTGAGAAGAGTGTGTTGCCTGGTGAGGACATAGAACAAAGAGCTCTAAGTTAACAAGACAGCAAAACGTAAACAAGAAGTATCTATTCAAGGCGTTTTAAATACAATAGAGTTTTGGAGTCTCCAATAAAATCTGGACAAAGGGTTGAATCATTATCTAACCATGAAAAACAGATGTATGCACAAGGCACTGCATAAATGCACCACAAAAAAGCTAGCTGGTCATGGGTCCTCACTCTCATAAATTCATGATAATGTATTAAGGAAGAATGGGAGAGATACATGGACCTTCTTTGGCTTACCTCTAACAGGCTGTGTGCGTGTGTGTGTGCTCATGCGCTTTTCCTCCAGAAAAGACAGAATAATACCTGAGATAGAAGTTGTCAAACTCTAAGATTTTCACCAAAATTGTTCTGTTTATTGGTGCAACTTTGATGGGAGGGAGGAAGTATTCAGGTATCACAGACCATCTTATCATGTGACCAAACTGTCTTATGACTGACAATCACCTGACACGTAATCAGGTGGAAATAGAGAAAGAAAACCCAGGAGCTGAGTAATAATAGGAACAACCATCTAGAGCGGGGAACTGGCTCAGGACGCTGCAGGGCTTTTTGTAAAGCAGACATCTCTCTAGCGTTCTTTCTGTCCCGGTGGTAGGCTGCAGTATCCTCTGTCTCGGCTGTGCACAGCCTCTGCGTGTGACGGCAGTGGGTTTCAGATGGGCCTTCCAACGTCAGCAGTGAGTCATCCTCTCTGACCTTCAGGCTGAGCGCCCATTCCAGGGAGTCTGTTTCATGAAATATTGATGAGGAAGATTACTCCAGAACAACGCATACCGAATGAATGATGTTACTTTGATGTGTTAAGCCAGCTTCCTGCCTTAAAGATTATGAGGCAAAAAATAGCCATGAAAAAAAAAGTCTTAGCAGAATACTCACTTGATTGGCACCAGCACTTAAGTATGCACGGCAGATTTCAAACCTCTCTTCTGTGAGTAGCATTATCCCAGCACTCCTTCAAACAATAACTCAAAGCTCTGGCGTGGGCTGACTGCTCTGTTTACAGTGGATGGGAGGCACCATTGTTTACCTGGACTACTGCAGCCAGTTAGTATGCAGTGTGTCCGCCTCTGACCACCGTGCCTTCACTCCATTCTCTTTGAAGCAGTGATTCTCATTGGTTGTGGCCTGGTACACAGGTGGACTTGAGTCCATTGGAAGTATAAAGCCAAATTTTAGCTGGGCGTGGTGGTGCACCCCTGTAATGCCAGCACTCAGGAGGCTGAGGCAGGAGATCACAGGAAGTTCAAGGCCAGCCTGGAAGTGAGCTCAGAGTGAGTTCAAGGCCAGCCCGCACTACATAGTGAGACCCTGTCTAAAAAATAAGGGCCAAATTTTGATTATCAAATAAAAATAATTTTGGTTATACCGAATCAAGAGCAGCAGCAGAAGAACTACAAAAGATTTACATAACCTTGTTAAATGCCACATTCCTCCAAGCATTTGACATGCATTAATTTATCTAACCATCATAGAAAGCTAACAGATATGCTCTGTTGTTGGTCCCTATCTTAGTTATTGCTCAGACAAAATACCTGACAACTAAGTTAAAGGGGGAAAAGTTTATGTGGGTCACACTTTGTAGAGATTTCAGTCCATAATCCTCTGGCTCCAAGGCAGGGTGGCGGGGCAGACAGGCCTCACAGGAGAAACACTGATGGCAGGCAGAAGGTAGCAAAGCAACAAGGGCCTTCACCGCGTCTCTCTGCCCCTTCTATCTTATCCAGACTACAGGGATTAGGGCTGTTCTAAACCAATCAGTGGACTGATTTAGTAGTCACCCACCCTCAATCCCACCATAATCCATCACACACTCTAGATTCAGCCACCTCTGAAAAAACCCACCTATGACCCCATGAGAGTTTTGGGGACATCTAAACACAAGCCAGAACACCTCTCTCTTCAGAAGAGAAAACTAAAGTATCATAGGCAGGGTACCTTGCTTAGGGATCCAGGAGTGATAAATGGCAGAGCTGCGTTTCAGAATCTGTGCTCTGGAGGCCCCGTTAGATAAATGAAATGTGCTTCCAAGTCCTGTTTGCTAAGTCAGTTCCTGCCCATCCTTCGAGGTTTAGCTCACACGCCCTCTTCTTTTCAGCTCTCTGTGCTTTTCGCCAACTGCTCTCCCATAGAAGAAGTTGCTGCTCTATCTGTGCTGCAGAAGCATCTCACATATACACTAATAAGGGTGGTTATCCCACCACTGACATTTTCTGATGCATTCAACATTCTGCTAGTTTGGGAGATACATCAGTCTGTGACACCACTCTACCTGTGTTCTTCCCTCTCTGCAAGGTCCAAAGGGCTGGAGGTCACCTGGAATTCCTGTTGCTGAGTTCAGTGAAAGTTATGATCTTTTATGTTTCTTAGAAAGAAATGGTATCTTATTTCAAATACATTTTGAAAACCAATCATTTCAATTCTGATTTTTGTTTCATTCAACTAGGAAAAAATGAACCACACATGGAGGCATGCCCCAGCTACTTGGGAGGCTGAGGCAGGAAGAGTGTGAACTGGAGGCCAGTCTGGGCAACACAGTAAGACCCTGTCTCTTGTAAGGAAAATAAGGGGGCTGAGGATGTAGTTCAGTGGTAAAGCACTTGCTTAGCATGCTGAGGCCCTAGGTTTGACCCCAGCACTACAAAAGAAAATATGCAGAAAAAGATAACATGATGCCTGAAGTATTCTTGGATGTTGTGCTAAGTTTAGGGCTAAACAAGGTAGAAAAGTTCCTGCCTTTGGCCCTTAGAGACTGAGGTAGAGCCCAATTAGTTAACTATGGTGACAGATGCCAAGTACTATAATAACAATGCAGTTGCTATAGAATGAACTTGGCTTGAGGAGCAGGGAAGACTTCCTTAATAATATCCAAATAGGGGGCTGGGGATTTAGCTCAGGCAAAGCGCTTGCCTGGCAAGTGCAAGGTCATGAGTTCGATTCCTGGTACTGGAAGAAAAGACAAAAAAAAAATCCAAATAGAAAAATAAAAAGTGAATAAAATTGGTCAGCTGAAGGGTGGACAGAACTGTGTGGGGCTCTGATTTGGCTGTAAAGTGGCAACGTTCTCTACTCTGCAGCTCCTAACTGTCTTCCACAACTCAGTAGACTGCAGTTTCACCAAGCACTTTCCCTGAGTCTTTTATGTATATGACTTTTTTTGAACTTCTTTTCACTGAACTCTTACACTGAATAATATTTTATAATAAATGTGAACTTCAGGTATTATGTCCCATCTTGGAGACATTGAATTGCTTCACTTAATTTTCAAAAACAGCTTCCCAAGTTAATTCATCTTTCCTTTTCCCTATAAGAAAAGTGAGGCTGATTGAGCCTGCATGGTTTTCTTAACATCTCACAGTTATCAAGAGTCAAGGTGGGAGCTGGGTGTCAAATTTAGGTCTGAGCAGATTTGATCTTCATAACAGTTCTGTTAAGTAGGTATTCCCATCCCTATTTTACAGATGGCAAAACTGAAGACCCAAAAATAATTAGCCCAAGGCCTCAAAGCCTGAGTACCAGTGTCTGGCTTCCAACTCATGTATGTTGACTCCGGTGTCTGTACTTCGGCAGGCTGGTGCTCAGAGAGAAAGCACTTCCAAATTCTTCCTCTGAGCTGACCACACGTATCGCCTCGGTAATTGCTACCCTGAGAGGAGGTGCTGTTGTGGATGGGCCCAGAGATTCCAGACAGCTGCTGGAATGGAGCCCTCTCCATGTTTCATTACCTGGGTGCTTACTCGCAAAGCAGGTGCTCAGGTCCTACGCTAGACCTACTGGATCCACGTGTACACTGCAACCAGACCTTCAGATAATCCCACATGCATTCAAGTTGGCAATGCACTTATCTGGATATGAGATCGTGCCTTAGAATGATTCTTGCGATTGTAAACTGTAGACTGCCATTGGACTTCTGAGTTTAAAGCCCACAGACAGACCAATTCTGAGACTTCAGACTTTCAGGGAAGGTTCCAGAGCTCTGGACTGAGCTAGACTTTCTTACTGACTTCCAGTAGTGCTGGAGAATGAGTTCATAGTTAGGATCTTTGGGTTGCACTCCAATATATGAAAGACTCCTCTGGGATTGCTGTTATCTATAAACTGAAGATTTAATCTGTAGGCTTTAAACTACAGATTGAAATAAGACACATTATAAAATTACATGATGATGTAAAACATCTTTGTAAGGAACAAAAAGCTGAACACTGCACTTTCCCACATTATGGTATGACCTGGAGGAACCAAATAACATTTCTCACAAAGCCTTGCAAATATGTGACAGGTCCATCATGATGGTATTCAAGTGACTCCCTTGTCTGTGTCCCAGCTGATAAAAGTTGTGATAACATTATTACTGTGTTATGACGATTTTTATCATATTTATACTTTTATCATTTTTATCATACTTATCTTTACAGTTGCTCATTTGTTCTCATTGTTTGTATATTCATTCATTCATTCATGAACATATATTGAATACTTTCCCTGTGGCAGGCACTGCCCTAGGCTGAGAAAATTATAGTATTTATTGATCAGTATAACAAAGATTCCAAAAGGAACAATTGTCGTGGGGTATGAACTAGATGGTTTAGCCTACTTTAGAAAATATTGGTCCTATATTTCTTTTAATTAGAAGAAACAAACTTCAAAAATAGTGCTGCTCATGGCTCCTGCTGTTGGATGTAGTATAAACACAAGAAATAAAGTTGTGTTGGACGTCAGAGTCCTAGAGACTTGGGTTGTTGTCTCTACTTGGATCAGATTTTCGAGCCCATAATGTGAACCTGTTCCACTTTGGGATGATGGTATGGAGTATGTGTGTGGGTGTGAGTGTGAGTGAGTGTGTGTGTGTGACAGAGACAGAGAGGCAGAGAGAGGGACAGAGAGAGACAGACACACAGAGGGAGAGACAGAGAGAGGGAGAGGGAGAGTGAGAGAATATGTGTGTGCTCATAAGTCTACAAAAGCCAAGGCTAAGTGGTTTGTTTTTATTTCTTTTTCTTGTGGGAAAGACGCTTATTTCCAGATCTGAGCGCCAGAGCTGACAGCAGGCATTTAGCGTTCACTTTTTCTCTCCACAGTTTAGTCTGCAAGGCTGAAAGTGTGGCTGTAACATTAAGCAGCTTAAGTGCGCTATCTCGGTGCCAACTAGCATGACAGAAGGGTTTTTCTGTACACGTCAGGGAGGTCCGGGGTGCAGAAGCCCTCCCCTTTTCAGAAGTTAGGTCATAACTAATTTAAGACTTCACTGTTTTTCGTGACTGAGAGTTTTCCAAGTTACATGGTCTATGCTTCTGAACAGACAGTCAGCTCGAGAATATTTATGTAGTCTGCCTGCAAAGTGCTTACAGAACAAGCAAGCATATATGGAAATAATGGGTTGATTTGCAACTTGAGTTGTGCTGTTTATTTTGGAGTGTGTGCACGTGTGTAATTTTGATTACAGCCGTTTTCAGAATCAATATTTTATTTCCTAACTAAAAGGTGAATGTAAGTCCCTGTTTTTAGCAGCAGGATCCTGAGAGGGAGGGTGCTCGTCTACTCCTGGCCAGAAGACCAGCCACCTGCTGAGCACCCAAGGACTGCGGAGCCCTGCTTTGCCCTTTGAGTGTCTCTTCCATTTTCTTCCTTTTGTTCTTGCAATAATTCAAAAGATGAGCTTTGCTTTCCGAGCAGAGGAAGTCTAGGTCATATCCTATGTGCATAAGCTGAGAGATTCTCATTCTCATTTACTTCCCGATCATGGATTGCGTTATACTTTCACCATTTGTGTAACTCATTCATGTAATCATTTGACAAGCATTTGAGAGGTTTGCATGTACCAGGCTCCAAAGTGCTGGGGATGAAGGATGACTGAGGCACCATCTTTTTCTTCGAGAAGCTCACAGTCCCACTGAAGAAACAGACACACAAACTACAGCAGCATATGACTAAGAAGAATGCCTTTAGGAAAACATGTAGAAATACGTACAGAGGAAGGAGCAATCAGCTTTGTGTAAGAGGGCCGAGGGGCCGATTGAGCTCAATGCCAGGAGATGAGTTTTAGTTTACTAGTCCAAATCAAACCCTTTCTCAGTAGGTGACACTCTACTACGGTAGAAATCACGACACATCAAAATACCATTGTATCATTTTTCTCTTAGGCAAACATCTCGGCTGCCCATTATCAAAATCCCTGATTGAGTGATTTTTCACTTCAGAGAGGAAGGAGAGTGTAGCGAATGAGTGGTCAAAAGGACAAGTCTGGAGCTGGGAAAGTGGGAAATACAGCTTTGTCTCTGATGGTTCTGTGACTTTAGAAAATTGCCTTAACCCTTCGAAGCCCCCTGCCACCTTGGTAAAATAGAACGATGACACGAATCCCACAGGGCTGGTGAGAGGGCTTAGTGAGGTAATGAGTGGAAAAGATTTAGTCCTTTGTCTGGAAAGGCCTCACAGTGGTTCTCATCTGGATATGAATGTTGTTACCCTCTCCCGGCCAGCTTCTCTAGCTACGAGGTGGTGATGCAAGGAGCCACCTCCAAGAATATCTATCCTTGCCTAGGAAGTAGTTACTTAGACAGTCGATAGGATATACTCAGATTCAATGATTTTTATTTTCAATACCTTATTAGAAATTTGAAGTTTGGAATTTTGACAAATTGGATTATTTCACAGCAATTGAATGTATACAATATAGACAAAATTATAAACAGATTTACTAACTGATCAAAGCAAGCACATGTAGCACATAAATAGATAACATGAATGTAACTTGAACACTATCCTTCTTTATAGGAGTGTGGTAGTATTCCATTATGTATAGACACCACATTTTTTAAATCCATTTGTCTGTTTATGGACATATAGGTGGCTTCCAAGATTTAGCTATTATGAAAACACAATGTTAAGTGAAATAAACCAGACATACAAACTTAACTAACATATGATTTCTCTCATATGAGAAATTCAAAGTTCAAATAAATTAAAAAGAAAATAAAACATTGATAAAAGGAAACAGGCAGATAGTTCTTTTGCAAATGGGGAGGGGATCAAGAGACCAAGGGTGAGGGCAGGGAGGAGAGAAAGGGGGCATAAGAAGATTTAAGATCTGCTATGTACATGCACCAGCACCCGTAATAAATGCAATCATGGTGCGCTGCAAATATGAACTAAAAAGAAAGAGAATAAGAGGAAAAAGAAAGAGGAAGAAGACAAGGGAGGGGAAGGGGAATAAAGACAGTCACGAGATGGTAGTACATGTATCTACTCCCTAAGATGCATGTAAACATCATGCACTGCAAATATGTACTAAAAAAAAATAAGCTAAGCTTTTACCATTTTGTCTTCATTTGGGAAGTTGGTAACTGATTGATAGCCAATCAATTAATTCTGCATTCAGTACATTTTTTTGGCCTCTTGGCCTTTGGTCAACTTTCCTTTTTTATATTCCATATTGTCCTCATTGATTTCATTCATCAGATTGACCATCAACTCTTGAAGGTGTTTTTATTCCCATTAGTAGGTCAGTATGGAAACATATATTCTCTTTATTTTGCACAGTCCTCATAAATAGCTTCACTCATTCATTTATTCATTCAATGACTATTTAAAAACTGAATATATAGAAAATACCTACTGCAGAGGAAGCAGTTAAGTCTTTGCCTTTAAAGAGCTCACAATTTGGTAGAAAACAGCAGCTGTAGTGCAGGGTGGCTGGTGCTCTAATAGTGGTAAGCAAAAGGTGATGACGGGGTGAAGAGAATCATCCCACATCAGGAAACACTTCCTAGCCAGAGCCCTGAGAGAAGACGGAATAATGATCAGCCAGGCAAGAAAAGACAAGGACACCCCAGACTGAGGAACAATGGGTAGAAGACTGGAGACCAAAGAATTATGACTTGTACATAAATAGTAAGTAAGTTAGTATAGTTGGCTCATAGGGTACATGCAGGAAGCAGTGTAATATGATCATGGAAATACAGCAGGGCAAGTCTGGACCATGCTGACATACTTTAACTTTACACAAAAGGGCTATTGCCCTTTTGAAAGGTAATTGAAAGGTCAGTTTTCTGCTTTGCATGGATCACTCTAGCAGCAATGTGATGAATTGGATTGGGTGCAAGGGTAGAAAAGAGAAAAGAATTTGCAATGATTTTGATGAGGAATGATGAAGACTTTTGCTAGTGGGAGAAAAAGAGACAGACCAGGTTTAAGAGAAAAAGGAAGAGGCTGGGGATTTAGCTCAGTGGCACAGCACCTGCCTGGCAAGCTTGAGGTGGTGAGTTCAATTCCCAGTACTGGAAAAAAACCACCAACAACAACAACAAAAAAAAAAAAAAAAAAAGAAAAAGGAGAATATACAGAGCTGGATAGGTGTGTGCCAGGGCATCATGATGCCATCATACAAAAACCAAGGCAAGAGGCAATTTTGGGGTAGGGAAAGAACAGAAGGGATCGCTTCTTTTCTCCTTCCTTTCTATTTTTATAATGATATTGTCTTTTCTGTTTTATTTTTCTTTTTCTCCTTGAATTGTCTTTATTTTGTGCATTCTGTACATAAAAGATTAATGTACAGAAACAGCATGATTTAGACTGAGATAAATCTGAATTCTTTTATTTTAAAAATAAAAGAATGAAAACATTAACAAACACATATCTTTACAAAATAACACAAAAACAATGCAAGCAATACAGAATTTCAGACAAGGTGATAGGAAATTAACAATGGTGGTTGTGTTACATACTGATATCTTCAAATTGGATACTCAGATAAACAAATATAGACATGTAAGACTGATCAAACATTAACTGTTCCTTTCAACAGAGCAGAGATAAATCTGGATTAAAATAATAATTACTGACCGTTTTTGTCTGTGTGAAGTTCTGCCAGGGCTATCATGGTAGTAATCCAAAATGGCATTTGATCCAAAAAATGACAATGTGTCCCTTCAAACCCAACTTCCGGGTTCTTTCTCTAGTCTCAAAATAAACTTCCTGTTTCCTTTTCATGCATGCGCCAACAACCCTCCAATCCGCTCCCAACATGCCGCATCACCTGCTCATATTAACTCCACCCCCAGTCTGACCTAATAAAATCCTGTTCCCAGCTCCCTCCTCTGAGGGTTCTTGGGATCTCCTGCGTTCCGTTCCGCCGGCAATAAAGGCTTGTTTTTACCTCCGTAGGTGCCTCTCAATAGCGCCAAAACCTAACAATTATTAGCTCTATAATTACAAGCAAATTATTTAATTTCTCTTGTCCTTCCTTCTGGAAAACAGTAACAATGTGTTTGTACAGAGAGGAGGGGAAACTGCAAAGGAAACGGAAAAATAGCAGCCAGAGAGGTGGTTCTGTCAGAAGGCTAGAAATCAGTTTCGGAATTACAAACGATAAAAGGTTGGACTCAGGAGCCTAGAGATTCGTGAAACATTAAAAAGCACAGCGAAGCCAAACTCACACACTGGAACACCTCTTCTGGAGCACTGGAGCACAGTAGGGGCCATGAGGCTGGGCGCTACACTTTGCCACAGCCGTGAACCAGAAGGTACACTATCTGCAGCAGATTATCAGTGAGAGGCATTTCTGTGGGCTTGGGAGGCAGAGGAGAAACAGATGTTGTTACTTCTCCTCCGTGGGAGAGTTATAGCCACCTCTAGCATTCACTCGCAAATCACTACTTCAAGCAGCGGGTAAGTGTGATCATTGTAAGAGGTTTTACAACTTGCTAATGTTTGGGTGATGCAATGTAATGTGCTCACTGGGACACAATACGTAACACCTACGGGTTAAAGAAGAGGTTGAATCTGGCTCAGCATTTAAATGGTTCGGTCCATGGCTGGCTAGTTCCAAGGCAGAAACATCACGGTGAAAGGGCATAGTGGAGTAAGCTCATGGCAGCCAGGAATCAGAGCAGGGAACACTGACAAGAGGAAGGGGCCGGGGACCAGATATAGTCCCCAAGTTCAAGCCCCATGTTCTTCCCCAGCCACACCTAGAACTTTGCTTTACTAGGCATTTCTCAAGCTAATTGAGTTGACAATCAAAATTAATCACACCTAATTTTCTGAAAGATAGCAGTAAACCTGAGGGCAGTTTTCCTTTCTCTGTATTTTTCAGTGGATTTGTGAAAAAGCATGACGATGTAAACATCTTCCCATTGCAGACACCTGAGGCAATGAACCCTTTCCTGCCCAAACATCAACTTAAAGATTTCTGGAAACAATTTTTCAGTGTTCTTTCTTAACTATCTTCTCTTAACCATTAAAAGTTGGAGACTCAGGGCTTTGTCCTGGACTCTTTCCAAGCTGTATTCCCTAGATAAATTCATTCAGCTCTCAGTCTTTAATATTTTCTAAAGTCCAACAACTTCCCAAATTATATCTTAAGCTCAGAGTTCCCTTGTGGATACTAATCCATATACTGTATCTGATTTACCTAGCATGTCCACACTACTGTTTTAAGAGCTCCTCAAATTCAGTGTATTTGAAACTAGACTGGTGCTGTCTACGGCCATACCACCCTGAACGCGCCCGATCTCGTCTGAAACTAGACTGGTGATCTTCCCCACGGCCTTAACATCTTACCACCTTCTACTTTAGAGTTTTCTTCCCAGGAAAGTGAACTCTCAACTCTTCGTGTGGCTTAGGCTAGAAATGTGAGCATCATTCTGGACTCGTCCCTTTCCCTCAGCCCCCATAGGCAGCCAGTAACCAGTCCTGTAGATTCCTCCTTCTTGTGTCATGACCCTGATGCCTTCTCTCTGTTCTCACCACCGCAACTTTCTGTGGGGTTAGCTTGAGAAGAGGAGCCCTCTTACTGGTCTCCCTACCTCCATGTCCTATCACTTCCATTCATCCTCCACCCCTGGACCAGTGATCTTCTGATAATACAAATTAGACTGTGTCATTACTTTATTTGAACCCCTTGGTGGCCTTCTGTTGCCCGTATTGTAGATGTGCATTCTACCCTGCCTAGCCGGGCCCTGAGGAGTTCCTTCCTTGTCCCCGGGACCTCCTCCCAGTAGTCTTGTTCTCCCTTTCTGCTGTTTTCATGCTGAGCTTGCCTAAAACATGTTTTGCTTTTCCTCCACCAAATCCTGGATCCTCCTTTGGTCTCAGCTTAGAGACCTCTTCCTTAATTCACTGAGTTAGAGTAGGTCTCTTGCTACTCACTAAAATAACAACACCTACCTCTTTTTGGCATTCATCACTTACATAAGCTTTTGGAAGTCTTTTTTTTTCCTGCTAGAATATAAACTATATGAGGGCAAAAAACCTTTTATGTCTTGTTCTTTATTATAACCTCAGTTTCTGGGGCAAAGAAAATATTGAATAAATATTTGTTTAATATATATTCAACTAATAGTAAATAATAAGTGGTCATTCTTTCTTCTGTCCCCGTTTATCCCCTCCTTTTCCTTCCTCTCTCCTCCCTTTCCTTTCCAAGGCCGTCGGCCTCAGACACAATGCCTGCTGTTGTTTTTCCTCCCTGTTCTCTCTGCCTTTGTCTTTACCTTTTTCTCTCCTCGTCTCTTCCATCCTAGGGCAGCCAGTGTTCACTTGGGCATTAGTGTACGTAAGTTCAGATTGTGTCTACTGTCCTGTCATTCTTTTTCTTGGGTTTCTCTAATAATGAAATTATCTGTCAGCCTCTCAGGATGCCCCGTAGGTGAGGTTAGAAAGGATAGATTTCCAGTAGAGCACAGATATATCTCTCTGAAATAAAACTCTAGGTTTCTTGGGGCCCTGTCTTTGTGTTGAAGGCCCAGTTCCCCAAATCCAGGAACTGGACATCAATCAAATCTTGCTGTTCACCTTAGAGCAAAGACAAGAATAGAAATATAACTTATTTTTACCCTCTCAGTTCCAAAATTAAACATTATAGGGTTAACAGAATAGGAAAAGTAGTGGATCACTTAGAAAAGAGAAGTAACATATATACTGCATACTGAACCATCTGAGAGCTGAAATAGTTAAGCCTAAGCATTCTGACAGCCAAGGCAAGAAGAGAAGCTATATAAACAATAATTCTCACTGTCAGAAAGAAGCAAGCATAGCTATTAATCAGAGGAAGAAACATTGCCTTAAATTCTTACTTTCTTACTATATATTTTATGTATTGCATACTATATATTCCATTCAACTTGATATGCATTGTACCACACATTCTATGTACTATACATTCTATTCAATTCCACAAACATCTTTCCAGAACCTTTACATGTTGGGCATTGTACTAGGTACTAAGGGTCCAAGGACAAACAAGACATCCTATCATTCTTACAAATGTGATCAGAATGATTTAAAATTCAGGTATCCTATGGATTTGTTTGGTTTTATATATATTTTTGTTTTATCTATATATTTTTGTTATATATATATTTTTTCTTATATATTTTGGTTTTATATATATTTATATTATATTATATTTATGTTTTTGTTTTATATATGTATTTTTGTTTTATATATATATTTTCTCCCAAGCACATAGAACTGAACTTATACATGGTCTGAATGACCATGTCCTTTTCTCTACCTTTTACTGATTCCTAGGTTTCTCTACAGTACAGCTCAAGAAATCATATTTTGTTTGTTTCCTTTCTTTTGAGACAGAGTTTTGCTAAGTTACTCAGGCTGGTTTTAAACTAGTGATCTTTCTGCTTCGGCCTCCTGAGTAGCTGGTGGCAACCTGTGCCACCACATTTGGATAATTCTACTTTTTTCTGTCATTTGGTTTATTTTTGTGATTCGAGGGATGAAACCTAAGGCCTCATGGGCACTGAGTCACTGAGCTACACCCCAGCCTCAGGATAATTTTTGAACATGTAAATGGTCACATCATGACTTTACCTATGATGCTTGCCACTCCCCATTGCTTTGGTTCCAGGACTCTTTCTATGCTGGTGGAAGAAAGTAGCTTTGGGTGGGATGGATCGGTGGGGTTATCATGTGATTTTCTGGAAGAGACTAACTTTTCAAAAAGGATGAGCTTCCTGAATATAAGAGAACAGGAAGAAAGAATAGAAAGGGGAAATAGTTACACTCCAACAAGTAACTTTTCTTCTCTAGTTTTCCCAGGTGCTGACTGAATTTCTACCTCACGTGGGGTCTGGGTCTGCATATATGCATAAGGCTTGGAGTTCCCTCCTCTCTTCATGCTGACGGGTAGCAGGGTCCTTCTCTTCACCACCTCACAACTCACAGCTTCCATCGGAGTTCTTGCTGATCTCCTGGAGCTTAGATCTTAGTCAATCCTTTCCTGGCAAACCACAAGCTGCATTCGACATTTTCAACTATAGGCAGGTAAGTTGCAACCCCATGTATTTCTTTTTTGAGTCCTCTGCCAGGAACCCAGTGATGATGAATCTGAGGAAAACGATCCAAAAATGAGAATACAGTAACTCTCCTTTGTGGTCCTGCTTTTATTGTGTGAAAATCTTGTTTCTACCCACTCTACCACTTTGTACTCCATTTGTGACTTCTGGGACCCTCCTACATTTCTGTGAAATAAGACATTAAACTGAGACTCTCTTAGCCTCAGTTTAGACTGAGGATCCAAAACAGTATGGTTGCCTCACATACCAAAATAAAACACTGGATTATCCAAGCAGGGTATGCAATGTAGGAAGGTTTGCAGCCTTCAGATAACCAAGGGAGAAGTGGGAGACAAGAGCGAGATTTTCCTGGGAGAGAACTGTTAGCGTGCTATGGGCCTCAGGCTCCTCCATGGAGGAAGACTGGTAGTGATTCCCTTCTTATTAAGCCTGGTGGGAAGAGCGTCAAGGAAAACAGAAATATTGTTAGTGTCCTCCTGAGTCTGTGAAGACACCAAGGCTGGCACTAGACCTCAGACCAAGAAGCCTAAGATTTGCAAATCAGTAGGACCTCAACAGAAAACATGTGTGGAATAAAACTAGAGGCTCAGAGGGTGAGGTGGAGGAGGAATAGCTTTCTACAAAGGGACTGGAAATGAGAAATTTCAGAAAATAAAAAGAGGAGGGTATTGATCTGAAGATAACACTAAAGTGTTCCAGATAGAGGAAACTTTACAGTCAATACCAATATACTTTATCCAAATGTTTAAACATTAGACAAAAGCAAGCTTCACTGATGCCATTCAAATGAGACCTTGCAGCGCCTGAACCCCTCCCATGCCCCCTGCCACCATGTCAACCCAGGCGTGGTCTAGACAGTGGAGGAGATGGCTAGTAGCTAAGGAAGCCAACCCCACTCCCCAGTTTCCACCTCAAGCTTCCCACCTTCAGCAGTCCAAATCAAAGAGGAGAGAGGTTGGGTTTTGAATGAAATTGAGAGATTTTGCTATCTAAGAGTAACTGAAAAAAAATGTGCCTAAAATCTTATAAAGGGGCAGGGGAAGGTCTAGCTCTGAGAAGTGGGTACCTGCATAGTCAGCATGGGAAGGAAAACTTTATCGTTATTGCTCCCACATCTTGCTTATGCATTGTGTGCTTGGCTGGGCTCAGCACTTGGTGTATAATCCTTCTCCACTACACATGGTGCCATTCTTGACATCTGCAACATCCCAGCTGTGATAGTTTGGATGGTTGCTCAGCAAATACTGCCTTTCCCCTCCACTGAGGGCAGAGTAAACATCTCTGAAAGATTGGGTCTGGGCTTGGTATGCAACTTGTTTTGATCAACATAAACGTGAGAACATGGTGAATATGCTTATACCATTCCAGTTTGGCTCTTGCCATGATATGCTTGAGATGAATGTGCCCCAAGTAGCGAATGTCCCTTTAGCCCAGGCCTTGGAACAAATACATGTGCAGAAGATTTGAATCAAACCAAATGGATCCGCTGTGGGGCCCAACTTAGATAAGCCAACTGACCTGCACTTTGGTGAACATGACAGTAAATGTACGTCGGCAGATTTTGGGGATATGTATTACATGGCATGGTTGCAGTTGGAGTTGACTAACATATATAGAAATGCTACGGCCTTTTAGATTTTGAACCTCTTTGATCTTACTTACTTTTTTTTCCATGTCATCTCATCTATCATGGTCATATTCTAGGCTCTGTTACTGTCAATAACAATTCCACTTTGTATACTGATCTTAAGACTATCACTCTGACCATCTTCTTTCAGCTCACTTACTGCATTATCTCTACTCACATACCAATACCTTATGTGACCTCCAGTCTCTTCATGCTGCCACCTTTTCACACTGTAGCCCCTCTACCATTTTCTCACTTCCTGTTGAACCCAGCTTAAATGTAATGGCCCACCACAGTTATCACTCCCTTATGAAAGAATAAAAACTAGCACCTACATAGGGCTAACAACATGCTAGGTACTGTTCTAAATATTTTACATGTAGTCTTAACTTGAATTCACCCCCAAACTGAGCTTAAGCAAAAGACATAGAAGGAACATTTGAGAAATGATCCCAGAAAATAAATATAAGGGACAGGAGGCGGTGAAATACAGAAGGAGGGAAATCCAATGCAAGGATGGTTTAATAGCTAGGCTACTACCATGACAACTTTTTGTAAGGCAAGAAGCCTTACAAAAATGCTCCTCAGAACTATTTGCCCAAGACAAAATGGGGACATGACTTCTTTTCCTCACAGGAGAGCTCAGAGCTTTTGTTCCCTTATGTGTCTAGATTGTTCATGTCTAGAGCTCTGGAGTTTAGAATGGGGTTCCCAAAGGTGTCCTATATTGTGGCATCAGAGAAGCACTGGGGCAGGAAGCAATAGTTAGGAGGAGATCAGAAGTGAGGCATTGTTGAGTTGTTTCTAGGTGAAGTTGGTCAAAACCTGAAGGGACTTGGTCACTGCAGCAGTACCCAGAGCAAAGAAAGGGCCTCAAAGGACTTGGAGTGATGTCACAGGTAGCTACACCATTAACTGGGACCATTACTGACCCTATTTTTCACAATGGAGAAGTGAGGTACAGAGACACTAAATAACCTCCCAAGGATGTGTAAACAGTACAAGGCAATACTAGCTCCAAACCCAAACAGCCTGATCCCAGAGCCTGTGTCTTCAGATACTACTGTCTATATCTCTCAACATGAGCAGATCACCAATTTCTTGGTCCATTTTTCTCCCCATTCCTCCCTGTCAGGAAAATGACCTTCTAAGTTTTAACACCAAGTTAGATAAAGCCATCAGAGGCATCCAAAATTCACTGGGATATCATTTTAAATATTTGTAAGAGTTACATTATCCAAAGAACTTGGAATACTGAAAGATTCTATCAAGTTAGAAACAAAATATATTTAGGTAATTTAAGAGTCCTTACAAATTTGAGGGTCTTTTTATTTTGTCTTTTTTGAGACATGGTCTTGTTATGCAGTTCAGGCTGGCCTTGAGCTCACTTTGTAGCACAGGCTGGTCTCGAACTCACAAAGATCCTCCTGCCTCAGCCTCCCTGAGTGCTAAGATTACAGGCATGTGCCACTGCTCCTGGCTCAAGGGTCTTTAGAGTTAAAAAAAAAATTACATTTCTCAAGATATAAATCAAATGATGAGCAGGGTAGACTTACAGCCCTCTAGGGGAGGTGAAAACCTAGATGACCCATGAGACTGCTCCCTGAGACAAAGCTTACCCCTCATTTCTAATATGTCTCTCTGGGCCTTCTCATGTTCACAGGGCAATATTGCTTATTTTAGAAGATTCTTCATAGTTCCACCACAAGGCCTACTCACATAGCTGTCTTTCTGGAATGAACTGCTCCCTAACACTTAGAATAAATGTTGATGCTTGGCTATTTCTCTGATCTATCACCACACCATGCTCCAGCAATGAGGGCATTTTTTTCTGTTCCATAAACACTCAAACTTGTGTCAGCCTAAAGTCTTTAGGCTTGCATTCCCCCTGCCTGGAAGTCTCGCCCTAATCATCACAAAGATGACTTTGAGCATGTAGAACTCAGCTCAGATACCAGCATTCCACACCTTTCCCTGACCACCTATCTGAAGCAGAATACTCATTCCATACTCCCTGAACGTATAGGGTCTGTCCCTAGCTTAGAACAATCCCTGTGGTGGTCGGCTGATGCTTAAATTCTGTAGTGTTCAAATTCTCTCAGGTCTGTGAGGTCTTAGCTGGAGGACCAAGAGAAGTATGTCTGCTTTGCTTTATTTAGTTTCTTATGTTATACAATGCTATTATTTAATAGTTTATCCTGCTATTATTATTGCACATTTACATACTGGTCAATAGCCTGAACACTACTCTTCTACCCTTTCATTCAACTTTTGACTTCCATCCTCTCTGGTCCACATTGCACTGGATGATAACTGTGGATGACCCAAACCCAACTCATGCCGTTCGGGAGCATGCTGCATACACTGCTGGTCACACCTTCGAGTGCAGTGGCTGCTTGACATCCTCTACCTCCGTTCAGCTCTCTTCTACTGAAATGCAAGCTCGGCGGTCAGGGATTTTGTCTGGAGAGTTACCGCAACGCCCCCGGAACCCAGAGCATTGCAGGCATGGGACTTCTTGGATCAGTCACTGAGAAATTAAATCAGTGAGTACTATGGGCTGCAACAGGCAGCTTGTGCACTGGCTACCGTGTGTGGGATGCCCAAGGACCAAGACAAGTTGAAGACCAGCTCTAAGCAAAACTAAAATGCAGTTATCTTTCATTTGATTTTTTTCTCAGCAATTGACTTTTAGAATCAAGAAACAGATACTATGAAATGAGCAAATATTTATTTTTTCAGAAAACCTCAAAACCTCAGAATATTTTTAGACAGCTTTGCTGATATAAAATTCTTATACCAGGGGCTGGGGATATAGCTCAGCACACAGGGCCTTGCTTGGCAAGCTCAAGGTCCTAAGTTTGATTCTCTAAACAAACAAACAAACAAACAAAAAAACAACTCTTACACCATACAAGTCATCCACCTTCAGTGTGCAATTTGGTGTTTTTTAAAAGAATATTCATGGAGTTTGCAACATCATTACTATCAAATTTTAGAATATTTCCATCTCCCTTACAAGAAACCAAAACTCACAAGTAGTCACTCACCATTGTCCTCTCTCTCCAGTCCCTGGAAACTACTAGTTTGCTTTGTTTCTATGGACTCATTTATTTTGGGTGTTTCACATAAAGGAGATAATACTGTATGAGGCTTTTTGTGACTGGCTTCTCTCATTCAGTTTAATGTGTTCATGGCAATCCAGGCCAGAGTGTGTTTCGAGGGTTGTTATGCCCTTACGCTTTTGCACTCTCCTACTTTCCCTCCAAAACTCCCCCTATTACATTGTATTGCTGCTTGCTCTATCATTTTCTTCTCACCACCATGCAGGGCTTTTTCATAGTGTCCCTTGCTGACAGTGTGCACTGTCAGCTGGTCCTCATGATGATTTTCCTCTTGTGCTATCAGATTCGGAAGCCCCCCAAGACAATCAAACCTCTCAGAAGCTAAATGTGAACTGCATTCTATATTTGAAATTTTGGAGGAGCTGAAACATCAGGCAGAGAGAGCCAAGTGGAATATCTGTGGTGGGAGAAAGACGTGGTAAGTATTCCCAGGATGACTCTTGGGTTTGTCCTAACAAGACTCTTATCTCTCGGCAGCCAGCGGTGACTCACTGGCTGTAACTGACAGCTGGAACAATTGTGGGTGGGAGAGAGAACCAGAAACCCAGCCAGAGACTAAACAGCTGCGTTTTGATTCTTTTCAGGGAATATGTGAGCAAATCTGATGGTTTTTATCATCAGCATCTGCTGGCCTTCCCTTCCCTCCTGGGTTGTGAAGACAGGAGCTAAACTGGTCGTCGGTTATCAGCCATCGCCTTAATCACGGTGGGCAGCACACCAGTTTCTGTTGGGAATGACCCCACTATTTTCAGCAACCTCCTGAACAAGTGCTGTTGCAGGATTAACTTTTTGGTTAAAAGCATTATTTATCTGGGGTGTTTCTCCATTTTTAGGGTCCCAGATCTTAAGAACAGAGATGTTTTGGTCAGATAAAGCAGAGACCAGTGCTGCATGCTCAGAGGTATAAGCCAGAGGTATTGCAGAGGATCTGATCTAGACATGAGATGTCAGGGCAGGCTTCCAGAGGTAATGACATCTACACTGAGATGCGGAGTGCACAGGCTGGGGCAAGGGCAGGACTTTTAGGCAGAGGAAACAGCATGTATAAGGACTCTGAAGTGACCAAGGGGAAGCAAAGTACACTCAGTTAATTGGGCAGAAAGAGATGCCCGCAGAACTATCTCCTTCCTTATGCTTGGTTTCCTAGATCAGCTCATAAGCGGAGTGCAGGAGAGTGAGATCCTGAAGAAACCACCCATTTCAAAGGACCCAATTTGGCCTAGTAAAGTAAGGGTCTGTGTACTCAGTTTTGGAACACTAAGGTCATATGAACGGTATGTGATAGATGAGAAGCCAGTGGAACTGGGAGAGATGACAGCAGGTATCAATAATAAGGGCTAACTCAGAGCTTTAAAGACTGACTCCTGAGACCCCAGGTAAATAATCTCTCATGTTTCAGTTCTTTTTATGCCTAAAATTAATTCACTTTTCTGGTCAGCATCTAACTTTTAAAAACCCAAGAGATGTGTTTTACAAATGGTGGAATGATGGCTTTTTTTTAGTTGAATATATATTTGCTGAACATAGATATGTTCATCTTTGGGCACAGATAGTAAATTCTGGGCTAATTTAATTAGTCTAATGCTGGGGACATAGCCCAGTTTAAAGTATAAGGCTAATTTACATGGTATCTTAGACTGTTTAGTGTTGCTATAACAAAATACCTGAGCTTGGGAAACTGATGGAGAAAACAGGTTTGTTTTGCTCAGAATTCTGGTGGCTGGGAAGTACAAATAGCAGCTCAGAGCCCCCTTGGCTGCGTCACAATATCACAGAGAAGTAGAAAGGAAAGCAGATACATACAGAGAGGTCACAGGTCAAGATGGGAAGCAAGAGAGAGAGGAAGGTCCAGGATCACTCTTGTATAACAGTCAACCCACAGGAACTAACCAACTCTTACCAGACTCGATCTGCTCCCTGACATCAACATTGATTCCTCCACAAGGGCAATAATCCAATGACCTCTCACCAGGCCCCATCCCTTAAAGGTCCCACTACCTCTGAAAACATTACACTGGCTACCAACCCTCTACACATTAACTTTTGGGGAACAAAACATATCCAGATCATAGCACGTGGAATTATTAGGTCAAAACAAATGGTTAAAAAACATCTGGTTTCTAATTTTAAAAATATTGTTGCTAAGAAAGAAAGCATGAGCAGAAGACCTTCTGAGCCAAAGGGTTCGGGTTGCTCTGCCAGGAAGGAAAAAGCAGCGACATGCGGGGTGCCTCCTGTCCCCCGCTGAGCCTCTTCAACATCCTCCCTAACTCCTCAGGAAGAGGAAGAAGTGCAGCTGCAGAGGGACTGATGCAGGGCCCATTTCTTCTTTCTGCCCTTTAATCTCATAGATATGAATGGGCCAGAATGTACCTGATCCCACAGACCCTCCCTGCTTAGGAGGGGCAGAAAGCCAGCAGGGCATTTGGGGTGGGGTGGGCAGGGAATACCTCTGCATTGGCAATGGAAGGGAGTTGTGATGATTAAGTTTCTGTGTCAGACTGACTTCTCAAAGCAATGCCCAGAGAGCTGGTATAACATGATTTCACGTTGTGCCTGCAGAGATGAGCACTTGATTCAGTAGACTGAGTGAAGGAGACTGCCCTTGGCAATGTGGGAAGGCTTCATTCACTCCACGGAAGCCGAAGTGGAACACAAAGATGGAGGAAAGGCGTCTTTGTCTCGTGGAGCTGGGACATCCAACTTCTGCCTTTGGACATCTGAGCTTCTGGCTCTGGGGCCTTCCCACTCCAGGACACACACTAGTAACCTCTTGCTGCTGGTGTCTTTGGCCTTGGACTGGGAGTAACACCATTGGCTCCATAGGATTTGAACTCAATTATGTCAACGTCTTTGCAGATTTTCTTCAGCTTTCAAGCTGTGTATCATGGGACCTTTTACCTCTATAATCATAGGAACCAATTCCCATAAATTCCCTCTCAAATATCTATTTAAAGATGCTCCTCAGCCTATAATGGGGTTACATCTCAATGAACCTATTTTAAGTTGAAAATAGATCAATGCATTTAATACAGCTAACCTATCAAACATCATAGCTTAGCCTAGCGTACCTTAATTATGCTTAAAACCTTTATATTGGCTTAGAGTTACCAAAGTTATCTAACACAAACCTATTTTATAATAAAGTATTGGATAGCTTGTGTGATTTATTGATACCATACTAAAAGTGAAGAACCAATTGTATGTGTATTTATTTGCCCTGCTGTAAAGTTGAAAACTTCCAAGTTGAACGTCACAAGTCAGGGACTGTCTATATCAGTTCTGTTTCTGTGGAGAATCCTGATTAATAAAAAGACTTGGAGACTGGCCTGGATTTGCAGTTAAAAATCTTTCATAGGACAATTAAAGCCTGTGCCTGATAGGGCGCCAGCTGCAGAAAATGATTCCTTCAGTCCAGGGACTTCTCAATATTCCAGGTACCATCAGGGAAAAAAACCTGTTAGTCCTTTTTTCTAGGAAAATGGGAAATGAAAAATAAATAATGTTGGGGCTGGGGATTTAGCTCAGAGGCACAGCGCCTGCCTGGCAAGCGTAAGATCGTGAGTTCAATTCCTGGTACCAGAAAACAAAAAACAAACAAAAATAAATAATGTTTCATAAAGTATTTATTTAGATCACAGAATTTTAGAACTAGAAGGAATTTTGGGGAGTCTAATTTAAATATCTCTTTTTGCAGTGGGAGGCATTGTGATGCAGAAATAAATTGGCTACTATAGTATGTCAGTGATAGAACTAAGAATTAAATTTAGGTCTATTAATTCCTAACTTAGTGCTCTTTCTATTGACCTTAATCTAAATTTTCAAAATTCTTTAAATTGTTTCCTTTACTCATATATGTCAATGTGCTTCATAAAGGGTGATCTTAGTAAGTTGCTAGGGATTATTTTATTTGTAGATAGAACCCTTGGAGATTTATTCAATCCAGGCAGGGAGACTGAGCCATTCACTGTCAGAATAGCAGGCAGAACAACTAGAGAGAAGCAGGGATTGAAGATCTTGGCTCTTGTCAAATGTAACTGGCCCCCAGTGCACTTGCACATTTAAAGAGGCTACTCCAGTGATGGCGATCCTTTTAGAGCTTTCCATGATGCAAACAGACAGCTGCGGCACCCTGCCATAGGTTCGCCACCACTGGGCTACACTGTTAAATGCAAAGAAAGGACCGGAGACTTAAAAAAACTCTGGGGTGAATACTTTCAACTAGGTTTGTGATTTTAGATAACTTATTCAGCCTATCTGTATCTCAGTTTGCACATTTAAAGATATGAGTAATATGATCACTGGTTTTCTCCAGAGGTGGTGGTCTCCAGAGGTGGTACTCTGAATCCTCCATGAGTGTGAATGAAGTGTACACCTGAAACCCAGTCCTGACAAATACACCATTAGTATTTGTTATTTGACTAAATGCCTGAGTGGAAGGTGCTAAAACGCACACTGCAGAGTGGCCAGAAAGGCCCAACAGGCAGGGATAGTGTGGCTGTTGAGAAGGGAGGAAACCAGCACTCAGGAGGCTGAGGCAGGAGGATCGTTGTGAGTTTGAGAACAGCCTGGGCTACAAAGTGAGCTCAAGGCCAGCCTGAACTGCATAGTGAGACCCTGTCTCAAAAGGACAAAAAAAAAAAAAAAAAAAAAAAAAGAAAAGAGAGAGAGAGAGAAGGGAGGAAACCAGCAAACAGGCACCTGGCTCCTTCTTTTGTGGCATGACTTTACCGGACACGATGCTTCTTATTTTCTGTTTAAAAGGATAAAGGAGGGCCCGGGGATATAGCTCAGTGGCATAAGCACCTGCCTGCCAAGCGCAAGATCCTGAGTTCGATCCCGGGTATCAAAAAAACAAACAAACAAACAAACAAAAAACCTGATAAAGAATAAGACTAATGGGAGGACTAGACAAAATAAAAACAAAGTCAAGAAAATATATTACAAAGCTAAAATGGTAAAAACTATTCTGTTAGATGACATAGTAGTTTCTTTTCAAGGACCAGGCATATCTATTTATTGTAATGAGATCACTGAAACCCGCTTCCCAGCATCTGCCTAGCCAGCATGGGGGAGCGGGAGATGTGGAGAAGGAATATTTTGAGGGAACACTGAACGTGGAGAACAGCTTGGAGGAAGGCCTCAGCTGGGGAGCTGAGGGCAGAGTGCTCTGGGCTCCTGCTGAGGTGGGTATGGGAGAGGCAAGCCAAGCTACCTGCAGGGGAGTGCATATTCCGCAGGACCCCACCGCCCTTACTCATTTATCCTCTCACTGCTGCTCTACCCAGCTCCCATGGCTGAGTTAGCTACCTCGTAACCCTGAACATTGTCCGACCGCATGACATTTTCCCAGATGCTGCCTCGGAATTCCTGCAGATATTTCATGAGAAACGAACACTCAGAAGCCTTAGAAACTGCTGACTCATCAGAGTTGCGTCTCCGGCCCCAATTTGTTCTTACTGAGCAGAATAAAAAGAATAGAAGTTATAAACCTCAGCTATAAAGCTGGGAAAGCTGATTTTGGAAGGAATATTATATGATGGTTGACCTTCAAGGGCAGTCCAGGCTGAATGGGACATAAATGTGTCACCAGCCACAGAGTAAAGGCCAATATGGCAGCATGGTTTGTGGTATGCATATGCCGCAACAGAGCGTAATAGGACAAGGTTGGTAATTTTAGTGGACACAAAAGGGCAGTGGTAACTGTAGTTTTAGAGGTAACTATAGTTTTCGTTTATCCAACAAACATTTTTACCCTTGTCTTGAGTTCCTCCCCAACTCCACAAAATCCAAATAAGAAAGGCTATTAATCAGTCTGCAAAATCCCTTCCTGCCCCGTGTTTCCCACGCTAAGCCCACACCTATGGACAGATGGTTCAGACTGGGCAAGTTCAAAGGCTCAAAGATGGAACTATACTAACTCAGGCCAGTGTTCTCCTTAGAATAGATCAGTGGGAACCAGCAGAGAGGGCTACTAGGAAAACATGAAGAACAATAAAACAAATGAGAGAGAGAGCTAGAGGAAAGAACACAGAGAAAGACAGAGACAGACAGACAGACAGACAGAGAATTTATATTGTTATTGTTACAGCTTTTGGATTTTGCTATGGTAGATCTATGTCTTGACTTCCCAGTTGTTTGAGCCAACACATTTTTCCCTTTACCTAAGATAGAGTGAGTTTCTTTCACTTATGATGAATTTAGTTGCTAAGGAGGGCCACAGGAGCAAGAGCAAGCATCACCACTGCTTGGCATACTCAGAGGTTGTAGTCGTCACTTTCCTATTGCTGGACACAATACTTGACACCCATAACTTGCAAGAGGAGCAATTAATTTGACTCACAGGTTTCAGAAGATTCAGTCCATGGTTGGTGGCTCCAAGGGAGAAATGGCAGGTGAAAGGGCATAACAGAGGAAAGCTGTTTGATGTATGGCACCCAGGAAGCAGCGAGAGAAGACACAAGCCAAGACAAAAGTATCCCTTTCCAGGTCACAGTGACCCACCTCCAATCAGGCCCCACCACCTAACAGCAAGTCAGCTACTGAACCCAGCCCTGGATAAATCTACTGATGTGCTTCGTGCCACCATAATCCACTCACATTTCAAAAACATGAGGTTTTTGGGAGACATTTTAGGTCTAAACCATAGCAGAAGTTCTTTCTATTATAATCCAGAGGTAGCTCCCCAAAGGAACTCCACTCTTTCAGACAGAAACAAGCTTAGAAATCCAAGACAATAAGGAAGAAATTCACACTGTAAATCTTTAAAGCCAATTCAACTTTTGTCTGCTTCTTCCAATAGCTGTTTATCAACAACTGTCTGTATTATATGCAAATGATAATAACTATATGATATTATTTTCACCTATCACACTAAAAAACATCCAGCAAAAACACCCAGGCTGGCAAGGGTACATCCATTGGCAAAGTGCATGTGACACCCTGCTAACGGGTACATTGACTCAGGCTTTCCGAAGGGCCACTTTTGTACTGTGTACTAAAACCTGAAAAGGTACCTATTTTTGACCCAGCAATTATGCTGCTTCAGGTCCAGTATAAATTCCCACAGACCTAGGAGGGTTTCTGTGGACTAAACTTCCAAGTTTTATATTTACTTCACTAACTACTTTGTCTCTATTATGCAGAATAATACTTGACTTAATAAATATTTGTTGAATGAATATTTCTAGAAAATGACTTGGAGAGTTAGAGAACCACATTATACTTCCTTTTTCCAGTGTTATGGCTATAAGGCACTACAAAGATTAATACAGCTTAACTCTGAATTATGCAGGTTAATAAATTTGTACAAGTAGAATGTCACAAGTTTTGAACTTGAAGATAATGCTTCTGAGATGTTTTCAGTTACTTGTATGCTCACATTTATCATGGAGAAGAGGAAACCTCTACTTTATAGATACTTCTGGAAACATTTTTTATATTGCATTAGATTAATAGATTTCATAGAGATATTGTCCTTGATTGTAATTAGAGTATCTGACGCAAGCTCTTGTGTGGGTGGCTGATCCATCAGTAGAGAGTAGACAGAGAGCTCACAATGAATGCCCATTTCAAGAGAGCTGCTGATATTTTATAGAACACCTCTGATTTTAGGTGTTGTGGATCCATAAGCCTTTTAGTTAAAAGAAATATACCTTTAATGGCAGGCTTTTAGATGGCCTAACTCCAATTCCTGGCAGAACTCCCTACTAAATGTTGAATGCCTACATTTATTTAATTTCAGTTTAAAATTTACTTGGGCACAGAAGGTGAGATTAGGTTTCTAGTTAAGGCCCTTCCATTATAGCTCTATTTATACAATGAGCTCCTGGTTGGTTTTAGGGGGTACTTTTACCTTGAAGCTTTATGCTGTTAATATTTTCTTCACTTCCCACATAGCTCTTAATATTAATCATAACTATATAGTCTATAGTTTTGAGTCAACCATTGATAAGGTTAAAGTCATTTATTTAACTTCCAAAAATAAATTTCTGGGTAGGGGAGGTGGGCAGGGAGGGAGCCTCAGCCTCTGCCGGGGTAATCTAACTAAACTATCTGTGCATGTGGAAGTCCAAGGCCAGACGTTTCCTGGTGCTTTGCCAAAGATGTC